CAGGCTGGTTGCACGCAAGGCAAACACCCTACCGCTGTGCTATCGCTCCAATATTTCTCAAATATCAAATTAAAAGAGTCGATGAGAAATAAGGAAAAGAGAAAAAGTTACTAATAAAGTAAGCTCTTGCAGAGAAAGCAGCTAAAAAATTACAAGGAGGGCTAGACAATAGAGCAGCAGATAAAGAAGGCACTTGCTGGGAACCACATATGGAGAGATCCCGGAGTGCAGAGCCAAGAGTAAGCCATGCGCACAGCTGTGCCCACCCCTCCCCACAAAAAAAAAAAAAAAAGATTACAATAAGCAGACTTAAAGAACTTAAGAGAGCACAGCATGCTGATAGTACCTATAAAATGACTAGCCAAAAAAAAAAAAATCAAACTATGTTATGTGAAAATATAAGGGTTTTTTGTTTTGTTGTTGTTTTTTGGTTCGGTTGGTTTGAGGTGTTTGTTTTGTTTCCAGTTTAGTGGACATAACTGATGGTGCTCGGGACTTAATCCTGGCTCTGTTCTCAGAGATTACTCCTGGTTGTGCTTTGGGAACTGTATGTTGATGCCAGGGATCAGACCTGAGTATCCACATGCAAAGTAAGCGTCTTACCTAGTGTACTAGCTCTCTGGCATGAAATATATGTGTTAGACCTATCTTATGATGTATGAAAAGCATTATTCAAGGGCTGAGGAGATAACTCAAAGGACCAAGCACCTTCTTTACATATGAGAGCCCCAGATTCAACCCATGGCACCATGTGTTTCCATGAACACCACCAGGCGCAACTCTGAAGTAGAACTTGAATGTCAAACCAACCTCTCCTTTCAGGAAAATGTACTATTCAGAGGGTGTGTATTATTCGAAGAGAGTACTACAGATAAGGTGCTTGCTGTCACATGTCTGATACAAATTCAATCCCTGGCACCTCATATGATACCTTGAGGATCATTAGCAATAAACCCTGAGCACAGAGTCAGGATTAAGCCATGAGCAAAGCTGGATGGGTATATACCCAATCCCCCCAAAATTAAGTATTATTCAGAAAGATTATCTTGAAGTCACCAAATACAAATGCAAAACCTGTGGCCAGGCACTTGCCTTATACACAGCTGACCCAGGTTTGATCCCAGGCACCACATCTGGTCCCCTGAGATTACTAGGAGTGATCCCTGAGCACCATCAGATGTGGCCCCAAAACCGATAAACAAAAGTCAAAACTATGTTCAGTTAAACACTTAAAAAGGCACCCAAAGGGTGAGTTACAATTATATGTTCAATTCATTTATTTGAAAAAGCTCACTTTCAGTAACAAATGAATACAGCACTGCTTTCCCAATGCAAATGGGGTTATAATATATATACTTAATTAAATCACCACGAGATACAGAGTTGTTTACGACTGGGCTTCAGTCACACAATGTTTCAACACCTATCCCACTACCAGTGTAGATTTCCCACCACCAATGTCCCCAGTTTCCCTCCCACCCCCACCCCCAACCCTTGCCCCATCCCAGTCTGCCTCTACAATAGACACTTTTCTTCTTTCTCTTTCTTTTTTGGCATTAAGGTTTGCAACACAGGTAAGGCAGCTAGATTTATTATTATTATTTTCTTCCAGACCTTATTTGAAAATATTCAATCTCATTTAATCCTCACAATAATCTTTTCAGATTGGCATTTCTGGGCTGGAGAGATGGTACAAGATTTAAGATGCTTGCTTTGCAAACAGCCACGCCCAGTTCAAATCCTGGGCAGCATATACAGTTCCTGGAATGCCACCAGGATTTATAACTATGCACAAAACCAGGAGTAAATCCTGAATACAGGAGATACGGCCCCAAAACAAAATAAAGGGGGAAAAAAGGTTGGCAAAACTGTTAGCCCACAGATGGGTAAAGAGAAAAACAAATCTATCTCCACTACACTCTGAAGAATTATAGTTCCAACAGAGACCTCATTGACTGGGGGGGGGGGGGACCCGTTTTTGATTGTAACACTATACCATAAGGGCCCTCCCCAGAACAAAAACAGATTTACAAAATAGTCTTACATCAACTATGATCACTTGATAATAAAGAGAACAGTAGCTTTTATTTCATTATGTAATAAGATCTTTCCAAGAAACCCAAGGAATTTCTTTAAATAAAAGTTCTTTAAATAAAAATTATCATGGCGTGCTGGAGCACATATTTTGCCTACAGAAGCCCTGGGTTCAATCCCTGAGCACTAAGCCAGGAGAAGCCCCCAAGTTCCACTGGATAACAGCCCCCAAGACAAAAAAAAAACAAAAATTATGGGCCTGAAGACTTAATGTTAAACAAGGATCTTTAATACAAGAATTTACCTCTACTCCTGCCCCCAAATCCAAATTTGTATGGGGAGTTGGGATTATTTTAAAGGGAAAGAAGTATAAAAATTCTTAAATTCAAAATAAGAAGAATACAAATTAAAGTTTTAGGAAACTGGAAAACAGACAGTAGTAATCAACCAGCACAGTCAAGAAAGTAAAAACACAGATGGCAAAAAAGAACAGAAAACACGACCATCAGAGAGCCCCAGAGAGAAAAAATCCAAGGGAAAAGTAATTCAGAGAACTAAATACTTGTGAAGTGAGAGTCAAAGTAGGACAAGAGAAAGGAAAACCATTTAAGAACTATTCAGACTCTCATTATCTTCCCCCATGAAGGATGACTTCAAATTTAATCTCTGAGAGAAACTGAATCGAAAGGAATCTGATGATATCAGATTGAGAATTCTGAATGCTACTCTGAAAACAGAGAGATTAAGGAAAGTTGATAAACTGAATGGTGAGACTATCCAGTCCTCCCCCTCAACTTATTTCTAAAGTACTGGGAAAATAAGTTCTTAGGCAAAGGATAGAGATTCTTCTCAGAGAGTTCTACTGCATGTGACAACTCCTAAACGTAGAGGAGGATGGGTAGTGTGTGTCTCTCAACCAAACAATCCAGTCAGGTCAACCACAGAAAGTCACCAATCAACATGACCCAATGCACAGAGAGCTTTCTGTCAGCCTTTTAGTGGCCATTTTCATATATAAGCAGACAGAAGGCATTTTAAGGAAACACCGAAATGAAGGAGACATAAACAAAGAGCTTCCAAAGAACTCACAGGAACAAAAGAAACCATTTAAAAATAAATCATAAATATCAGGAAAACATGATTTTATATATATAAAAAAAAGCAGGGTGCTATTTTAAAGAAAACTTTAGAGAATAAGAAAGTAGAAATAAGAAAGTGTCTAAAAATTTAAGATCAAAACTAATTCTATAGTAGTAGAGAAAAAAATTATTTTTATATTTACTATGTACTAGGCTTTATTCTAATTTTGCTTATTTATATTCAGTGTAAAATAGATACACTTTCTCTATTTTCCAAATGAGAAAGTTCCTGTCCAGAATTTTTTTTTTTTTGGGCTTTTTGGATCACACCCAGTGATGCTCAGAAATTACTTCTGGCAGTGCTCAGGGGACCGCACGGGATGCCTGGCTCATGCACTCAGGAATTACTCCTGGTGGTGCTCGGGGGACCATGTGGGATGCTGGGAATGGAACCCGGGTCGGCTGTGTGCAAGGCAAACGCCCTAATCACTACACTATCGCTCCAGCCCCCATGTACAGAATTTATCTTTCCTATAGTCACACAGTAACTGGAAAAACTAGGGTGGGAATCCACAGAGCCTATTTTCAAAATTCAGAATTTTAAATATTACGTTATATGGGGACAGATAGAGAATACAGTGAAAAGGGGAACTGCCTAGCATGTGGCCAACCAGGTTTGATTCCCGTCACTCCATATGTCTCCCAGACCCTTCAGGAGTGATCCCTGAGCACCAAAGCCAGGAGTAAATGCTGAGCACCACAGGTGTTCCTCAAAAACCAAAATAAATAAATAAACACTATAGAAAAAAGAAAACACAAATTTAAAAAATGGATATAATAAAAGGTTCAAAAACCAAAATCAATAACCTGAATAATAGGTGATTCCAAAAGGCAAGACAGAAAAAAGTCAAATAATTCAAGAAATTTTTCAGAATTGAAAGAAATGACAGTAGAATGAAAGGGGTCATCAAATATGCAATTTAACGGATAAAATCAAGACTCCCCACTCAGCAAGGAAAATTACCTTGACATTTCAGAATTCTGAGAGTTACTAACAGTTCTCAAAAAGAAAACAGCATCTGAAGTGAATATGGCACTCAGCTTCTCAAATGCAATACTGGAACTCAGAAACTCAGTACCTTAAAATTTCCAGGGACAATGACTTCTAACCTAGAATATTTTATTTAAACGAAAACGGGAACATAGCCCATCAAAAAATGTAGTTTTTTTACCTACCCTTCCCCCAAGAAGCTAGTAGAGAATGTGCTCCAGCAAATGAGTAAATAAAATCAAGAAGTTGGAAGATCAAAATGATGACAATGAGATCAAAAAAACACAGATATGCAACAAGTTTTGATTGCCACCAGCACACAGATTAGTACTGGGAGTTAGAGGATTCTAATAACATAAAATTGACAGAATGCTGTTGATTTGAACATACTGAAAGAAAAGTTTAAAGATGAATTAATGCCAGGATACAAATTAGAAAAAAATTAAGACAATTATTCAGTGAACCATATCCTTCCATTTCTTCTGTGAAACAATAGAAAATTACTATAGCAAAGTAAAAACTGAGTAAACTTATCTAAATAGAGGTTTAACGTTTATTTTATATTTACAATTTCTCCCCAATTATAACATAGAACAAAAGTCTGAGAAGTAGATCTGTGTTCTTTTGAAAGGCAAGGCTTCTGAGCCTCACCTACTAAAGGCAAAATAATAGTTATTCCCAAAGTTTTCTGTGTACAGTTGAAGAGATGTGAACATTCCCAGCATTATGCCAAGCACATAGTAAGCACTCACTACATTTTTATTAGATCTGAATCATAATGATTAAACGAGAAAAAAAACAGCAAGTGGCAGGCAGGGACTCCCTCTATCACATACCTTCTGTGTTGTTGTGTTTGTTGTCTGTGTTGATGGTTTGGTGAAGGTTATTTTCACAGGAGACATGTGGGGTGGTAAGGAGTTGGCAATACTCTGCATGATGTTGCTCATCTTGGGACTGCCACTCACAGGCACAGTGATCGTCTTTGAGACGGGAACAACAGCCTTTGGAACTTCCTTTAAGACAACAGGGGAGGAACTAGAAGAGTTTGTTCTCCTTCGTTTTCTGGGTTTTTCATCTTCATCTGAACAGCTAACACCTGAAAACCAATGACAATATTGCTATATTTATACCACTCTAACCTTGCATTTGCTACCTTATTTTAAAAATCTTTGTGTCATCAGCCACATTGCACCTCAGCCTACACCAATCCTATCTTCAGAAGTTATCTCTTAATGCCTTCTTTTCTTTCATTAACGTAACAGCCAGTCATGCCTTCTTACCTCCTGCCTCTTTTTCAGTAACAACTTCTTAAAAGGCATCCATACGTCTAATCTTTCCATTTCTATTTTACCCACCACCCAATAATCAGTTATAAAATCACACACATATAGTCATGCCAATACCCTGCCTCACATCTTTTCGTAGTTAGCTCCCTATGCGAGGCAGCATTACGTCATTATCCCGTATCACACAGGTATACAATACACTGTTCCATCCAACCCTGTATGCCTCATACAGGTCTATTCCCTGTTCTCCAGAGTCATTAATCACATTCTATCCATCCGGACTCCCCACGTACTGTTATTCTTTGAGGAATACTTCCTCCCATTAAAAACTACTTCGTTATTCTGCAATTATCATCCTGAAAGATTCTACCTCTTCAATAAAGGTTTCCTTCATCCTCTAAGCAAAGATAATTCATACCTCCTCTGAGCTTATTAAACACTGTGTTCATTCTCTTCAGTATCACTTACCCCATGACAATGAGACTGTAGCTCTAAGCTACAGTCTCCCGTTATTAAGGCTGTTTCCCAAGGGCAATAATTACTGTCTTCTTACTGTGTTTGTCCTCTGGTACCAAGCGCTTCATGTACAAAGTTAGGGGAATGAACGATTATAACCCAAACTAATGTTGTATGTGTAACTTCTGAGAGTAAAGCAACAAATTTCCTATACTTCAAACCATTATGTAATACTTCAGGCTCACTTTCAATGTTTTTTATAAGTCAGTAAATGAATCTCTTTTAGTTACTTTAAAAGACCACCTAGCCGAATCTATAGGAATCAGGTAGAAATTAGTTGCAGAGTCTTAGTTTTTTTCTTTATGTATCCATTTTCTGATCTATTTGAATCAGCTTTTTAAAAATGAAGTGACAAGCATAAAACTTAGCAAAACAGGAAATTTCTACAGAGCAGAGATTTTAAAAGTATACAGCATGACTCATGGAATTGAGAATAAAATATATCTCCCTCACATATTCAGCTTTTAGATCCTAATTTAGATTCTAATTTAAATAAGACTGATGACCGAAAATCATCCTTGTCTAAAACAACAAACTCCATCACTAAGGTTGCAAAGATAACAAGTTTATAACTGTACTGAAAAATATTAAAAATCAAATATTAATATTCTCTAGCTGATATCAAAAGCAAAACAATACAGTCATATTAGACCTAAAAAAAAAAAACAAAGAAAAGAAACTGAACTGGACACCAAGAGTAGATTTCACATGCTTTTTCGTCTCGCCGGCCAACATGCCGTCAAGACTGAGGAAGACCCGAAAAATCAGGGGCCACATGAGCCACGGCCACGGCTGCATCGGCAAGCACCGGAAGCACCCTGGAGGTCAGGATAACACTGGTGGCATGCATCACCACAGGATCAACTTTGACAAATACCATCCAGGTTACTTTGGGAAAGTGGGTATTGAGACATTATCACTTAAAGCTTCAGCCCAACTATCAATCTTGACAAACTGTGAACCTTGGTCAGTGAGCAGACACGGGTTAATGCTGCCAAAAACAAGACTGGAGCAGCTCCTATCATTGATGTGGTGCGATCAGGCTACTACAAAGTTCTCGGGAAGGGAAAGCTCCCGAAGCAGCCTGTCATCGTGAAAGACAAATTCTTCAGCAGAAGAGCTGAGAAGATTAAGAAAGTGGGAGGGGCCTGTTCTGGTAGCTTGAAGTCACCTAAAAGAAGGATCATTGAATGCTACACTGCTTTTCAAAAAAAAAAAAAAAAGAGTAGATTTCACAGTGTAGAATCAGAGGTTAAGAACTGCAAATAAACTTCAAAAAGTTAGTCAACTAGGTATACAGAAGATGAACTACTAAGAACGCTTCACTGAATCTAACAGAAGATATACTGTGTAAAATATTTAAGAAAACATTCATAAGATTACAATTAGTAGAGGAAGCAGCGAATAAATCAAAATAAGCACAATTCCTTCCATTTCTGTTCACATTTCTAATACATGATAAAATAAGTGAAAATTTGAAGGACAGTACTGTTCAAGGAAAATTTCCCAGGGGAAAAAAAGAAGTAATTTCTCAAACCCCAGAACTGATTAAAAAGCAATATATACCTAATCACATGTAAAGAAAGGATTTCTTTAGAACCTTCAAAAGCTAACCACTACTAATAGCCAGTGAACCAATGATTTAATCAGGTGAGGCAAATCTAATCAGAGCCAAAAAACTTCAGCATTTAGCCAAGATGGCCCTGAAAACACTGAGAATATCACTTACTTTTGACATAAACAGTACTTCCACTTGGTAAGACAACTACATTGGAGGCAGGACTGGCAGGTCTTGGAGACTTAACCGTTGCTATGCTGCCACTTGGAACAGGGGTAGAGGTTGGGGTTGACGTGGTACTTGTGTAGGAATAGCAAACCACTACTGAAGGAACGATAAAAAAGTTTGCTGTTAACTTTCACCAAAACTGTCCACGCATACAGAAAAATTATTTTACTGCAGACCAATTTTTGTTTTGTTTTGGGGCCATACCCAGTGATGCTCAGGGACTACTCCCAGTTTATTGTTTGGAGGTCACTCCCAGTGGTGGTCGGGGACCATGAGGTGCCAGGGCTTGAACCTGGGACTCAGCATGCAAACTATGCACTTGAGCCCTTTGAGCTATCTCCCTGGCCTACTGAAGACCAATTTTAACATTATCACATAACCAGAAACTAGAGGCCTGTACTAGGTCCACAGATTAAACATTATTAATAAATATTCCTGAAAATCATCACTTAATTGGGTTTTCCCCAAAATTTTTAACAGCTGTATACAGGTGACATTGCCAAAGGAGCAATTACAAAGAAATCAAGCCTAAAAACATACTGAGAAAAATGAAAGTCATTTTTCATTAGTAACAGCAGTTGGACAACAAATAAACTTACATATCTTTTTGATGGTAACAACACTAGTGATGGAATGGGGGATAATTTTTCGCTAACCACAGAGATTCCAACTGGTGACTGGAGAGAACCAAGGCAAGACCCCTTTATTATAAATTAACTCATTAGTCACCAGCCATCCAAGCACTACAAAAATAACTCAACCAAAGTAAAGACAACATCATATTTCAAAGATGGAGTAACAAGATGCCATGAGGCTACTAGCATCATTTTTTACTGAATTCCATAAACTATGCCAAATTCTTTGCATATATAATCACTAATTCTCACAATATCACATCCACATTTTAAACATGAACAACTAAATTCACAGTTTTTCACAGAAGCTAAGAGACTTGCTGGACGTCACAGAGCAATAGGAAATGGCAAACTAGATTTCAGGCACAGATCCTGACTACTGAAAATCCATATTCTTCCCACTCTATCAGAAAACTGACGGATAGAAATGGTAAAAATGAGAAGGAAAATGCCACTGTCACAATAAACAAAACCTCAGTGGAGAATAAATATATACACTGAAACCTCTATCTCAAAATACTGCTTCCTGTGGTCTAAAACAAACCCTAGCATGCATAATTAAAGAGTACCTCACTGTGAGGAGAGCCCACTGATAGGCGAGAAAAGACAATCCCCTTGAGAGTGGAGCCTGACAACTGCATTATTTTCTATCATTTTTATGTAACATCAAACTAAGCTATTACAGTCCATCCAAAAAACGTGCTCAAATTTAAAATTACTCTTTGGTAGTCTCAGGAGAATTCAAGAATTCTTAAACCATGGGTCAATTAGTACAATAAATTAAAAAAAACCTCTCCATCTGCCAAGCAATCCCTAAAGAATTCAGGACATTGACTAGAGAGGAAGCATATGCCACAGATTCCAGAAGATAGAGAGCTTTATTTCCTAAAGCACCAGTTCAGCGTCTTTCTCCCATAGCTACGTGGCTTCTGTCCCCTTATTTTCCAAGTCCCCCACAAAGGCGTCCGTCCACTTCGAAGATAAACTGATGTCAAAAATTCATTCCACAAGGGTCTTTTACAAATTTGTGATTACTGTACTTCACTCTTGGAACAAAAGGAAGATACCATTTAGGCTGAGCCTAAAATATGAGTTGGTCATTGTTATTTTGCAAGTTCTGAACTCTTAAAAAAATATATAAAATACAAGGTAACTTAAGAATCCGGGAAGAGTATTTTTTTCACACAAGAGTATTTTCCTACTCACCTTCCTTGCTTCCTGTTTCTGCAGGCACTGGAAGAGATGCATTGTGCTGGATAGCTGCATTGGCAACAGCATTAGCTGTTACAGTGAAGGCAGTTTGGGGAACCAGCCGGGGCATCAGTGGCACCAATCGGCGACCTTCAATGGACCATTCTGAGGAGCTATTAGGTCCAGACATACTAAACAAAAAAGAAAATGCTGCTACAAGGGTTCTCAACCACTGAAAATGAATCAAATATATTTTATAAAATACATATAACTTTTTAATCATAAAAGCATTCTTAGTATACAGAAGAGGTTTTATTTTAAGCAAGCAAGATCAAAATGATGGATAATTAAAAGTCAGGAAGATCACATACACTTAGGTTCTTACATTAAGGTTCATATGCTTATTAGATTATCATCTGAATCTTGTAAGGAAGATAATTGAAATTTGTTTCTATGCTTTCTATGTAAAAACCAACACACAATCCATTTGTTTAAATTCGGTGTTATTGATAATGAAACCAATAATTATACTTATAGGACCCAATTTTGTTGCCAAAGAAGAAAGAGGGGCCAGAGTGGATGTACAGTGGATAGGGTGCCTGCCTTGCAAGTGGCCAATCCAGGTTCAACCCTCGGCACACCATATGCTCCCCCGAGCATGACCAGGAGTGATCTCTGAGCTCAGAGCCAGGGGTAACCCCTGAGCACTGCCGGTGTAGCCCCAAAACAAAACCAAAGGAAAAAAAAAGGTAAAGAAGTACTCAAAGTTTTAAAAATCAGGTTTTCTGAAATAATTAAGTTTGGAATTCATTGAACATTATCTAATAACATGATCTAACTGCCTGCATGGCCAGAAGTTCTAAGGCTTTCAAACAAGGGAAACTGAGGCAGTAAACGAGGGAGACTAGGTAGGAGAGACAGAAAAAAACTGAACAGATCACTTCATGTGTCATTAACATGTGTTACATCATCCTTCCTGTAAATAAAGATCAAATACAAGGACAATGGAAGAAATGTGCCACTCTATATTTATACTACTTTCTACTCTTAAGGATTTGAATCTACTCTTCTCCTAAGCAGATACTATTCTGTTTTGCTACTTTAAAGTTAAGCTAATGTATCTCAGAAATCCAGAGGATGATATATGGAGGGGCTACTTCTCTTGACTTGGCTTCACAAAAATAAGTGTATCGCTCTCTCCTCCGGACCAATGATAAACACTGATAAGGTTTAAAATTCAGCCAGAAGCAGGGTCTGGGATGTCGCTCAGTGGTGGAACAAAAGCATAATGGAGACTTGGGCTGGGTCCAAGACAGTTCCTCTCCCATTCCTCTCTCCCCTCTCCCCAAACATACACGAAAGACCCAGAATCAATTTATTCACAAAATCAGAAATATTTCTGAACATTTTCCAAAGGCCGTAATTCTAAAACTAAACCTAGAGTTTGAGACTTTGTATCTTTGGAGGTTGGCTGACTTTTCAGATTTAGTAAACAGATGTGAGTCCTTTTTAATAGACGATGAACTAATGTTAATGATGGTAATAATAGTTAACATCAATTAGGCATCCACTATATATCAAGCATTGTAGGTCTAATAACTCACTACTGTCTTAACAATCATATGAAATTGGTAAAATCGACTCCAATTTATAGATGGGGAAAACTGAGTGACTGAGGGTCACTAATTTGCCTTCAGTCAGTTATCTAATAATTTCTTCAATATCATGCAACTGAAATTATTCATTACATCATTTAAGTAGAAAGTATAAGTTTTCAAATGTATTTTAAGTCTGCTCTAATTTATACTACTTTGACACTAATTACTACCAACTTTCAATAAATGGAACAAATAAATTACACCTCAAGATGGAATTACAGTTGGTTCGGAAAGGAATTTCTAGAGTTAATCCACTGGGTTACTGTGGAAAATCTACCAATTTCCTGTTGGTTTAACAATCTTATTTAAGATAAGAAAAGGAGAGTTCCTAAAACCCTGATATCCTCCTAAAATTGTTATGCTCAAGTCTCCAAGCTGAAACTAGTTCTGTAAAAGAGAATGATTCAAACAAGAGAGACAGAAAGGGCTGTTCAACTGGCTTATTCCTATTTTGCTATCATTTTATTAAACTAATAAATTTCCTTGGTGAGCTTACAAGACAAATAAAGTGCTTTCTACACTTACCTGGTGCATTGTTTAAATGGTGGGAAAAACTATGGAAAATTAACCTTCTGAAACACACGAATAATGCTATTAAAAAAACAATTTGCAGTGTAAAAGACACAACTGCAACTTTCAGAAAGACCTAAAATCCAAATTTCTACTCCTGCAAATGTGTTCCAAACTTTTCTGAATGGAAAATTATAATCATCTTAGAATTTAATCAAAAAAAATTTTTTTACGGGGCTGGAGCGATAGCACTATGGGTAGGGCAGATTCAAGTCTCAGCATCCCTTATGGTCCCCCAAGCACCACCAGGAGTAATTCCTGAGTGCAGAGCCAGGAGTAACCCCTGAGCATCGCTAGGTGTGACCCAAAAAGAAAAAAAAATGTATTTACTTACAAATAAGGACATGGATAATGCATTATTAGATAGAATCATCTAACTTAAACTTTGCAGAATGTTGGAAACATTTCAGTGCTTTCATGGAATGCCTAAGTTAAAATAATATATGAATGACTTTCTATACTGAGTACAGCAAGGGAGCGTGGAAACCCTGCTTCAGCCCCTTTCCAGAGAAATATGATACTAATGAAACCACCCCAAGGCCCTCAGAGGCAGCTTGCAGGGAAGCAGCAAGAAATCCTTATTCTCACACAGAAACTCACACAGCAAGGCGTCCTATTTTGGCTGAAGGGGAAGGGATTAAGAGAACAGTAATTCCAGATATCTACTTTCTCTGTACTCTAGTGATAGTGTGAGAGCAGCCCAATTAAAGATCCTGAAGCCTTCTTAACATTCCAGGTTTTAATACTGCAATATTCTGCTAAATTTCAAAACTGAATCAATCAAACAATAAAAAGTCTGGAGTCAAATAATGAACACATGTAAAGCTTCAAAGCCTCAAGCAGCCTTTTCTTTGATCCTAAATAGTCCGCTCCTTTTGTTTCCACCTCTTTGTGCTCAATCTTCTTGGCTTTCTTCACCTTTCAACCACATTCCTTCTGGCCTAAGCAGCAGTTTTGAGTGGGGGAGGGAAGGGAGAGGAGAAAGGGAACACGGTCAATTCATATGCATTCCTCCTCGGCTGGGGCTGCTGTTTTCACAAGCTCACAATATGAAGCCCTCCTATCAACGATCTTTGAGATGAGAGGTTTGGTTGCTACTTCTGGGAGAAAGAGGGCAAGAGACTGGGAAGTGATCTCTGCTTTCCTCATTTTTTCCTACTCACTAGCCCTTTGGGCTCAAGTAAACATAACATCTGAACAAACTAAAACCACAATATAAAACATTAAAACTGGAAGGAGTATGGAAAAAAAATCCAAAAAGTTTCAAATTATACACTGAGGTAAAATTCTTCAAAAAATTAATGTAGTAAAGAATTCAGAAAAAAGAAAAAGGAAACAGGCAGATAAAAGCCAACTCTCAATTATCCATGCTAATAATGAGGAGGGAAAGGGAGAGGCCAAACAGATTAAAGAAATGTACAAATTAACCCAAAAAATGACTTTGGCAAATACTTGTAAATTCTTCCAACAAAACTTTTCCAATATAACTATCAAGTAGTGAAATAACTAATTAAAATTTCCCCTCCTCTCCCTTCCCACCCTCCATCTAGAGGTACTCCCAAGCAGCAAAATGGCTAAAGGGTGGGCAGTATTAGGAAGGGAAGAAGGGAAAAGAAGGAAAAGCAAGGGGCACGGTTAATTCACAAGTAGAATATGTGCCCCTGAATAATTGAGAGCTTCAATTTTGAAATAAATAAAAAGGCCTGAAAAAATAATAACCTATTTGCATACCTGTAACTTGGTCTTTCACCCAAATATAAGGATAAATTCATTCTTTAAAGGGGAAAAAAGGAAAAGGAAACTAAATAAATGTTATCCTTTAAGTATGAAACTGATGCATCAACTTATATCTAACTGCCCCACAATATTACTCCAATTCTTTTAAGGTACTAATATGATCTCTAAATGCCTCTGAATGTATGCTATTTTTACTACTTTATTAACTAGTAAGTTTCCAACCACCAGTTCTCAGATAAGACTCTAAGTTCAGCTATATTTTTAGATTACCACAATATAAAAGTTTATAGCAAATTTTAAAAAGGAACAGAATCTCTGAATGCTTGCTTCAACTGTTGGCTTGGTTATATACCTATCACTAAAGGATCTGAAACTGAAAACAACTAAACTTTCTAACTCTTCAGGTAAAAAAGGTAGCACCCGTTTTACAAGTTAGGCAAAACGAGTGAACATTTTGGGCACTAATTCAAACACTGCCAACTGATTTAAATGCCCTATTTATCACATTCTCTAAAGACAATGATATTTTCCTATTTCATATGAAATATAAATATTTTAAAGCAAATGATTTAGGCTAAGACATGCCTTATCCTATGAAGTGCTCCTATCTTGCATTAACACTTAACAGAGATTTTAAGTTCCGTTCTATTATTTTGGAGGCACTCTCTCCATCCACACTCTATTAATGCTAGATCCTGAGTCTTCCACCACCCTTCACCCCATCTATCAAATAATTATAATGCTCTGCAAACAATTTGATAATAATCTTTAAAATTTTTATTATCAAGTATATATTTCATTCATATTTTTTAAAAAACAGAAAACATACATGACAATTTTTTCTGTATTTCAAAATACATGAAATATTAGTTATCAAAATTTTTATACCTATTTAGAAAGCAATAATATATCAAATACCATTACAAAGAATATCTAAGGAGCTGTCAAATTCCAAAAGCAGCTACTTTATTATTGAACTTTGCTATGCTGGCCTTTATACAGAGATTACAAAGTAACAGGATTCTACCTGAATATGTAAAGTTCTCCTGACCAAATGCAAAAGTATAACCAACTAAATAAATAGTAAACATCTCCATGGCCAGGATCCCTGAGTATTGAGATACTGCTAGTAAGCTTAAAAAAGAAAAAAACAACTCAGGAATCTGCTATACAATAGGTAGATTGTTTCAAAACTGTATTATACTACTTAATTTTAAAAAAAGTCAGGGGTGGTATGACTAATGGCTTACTTATGTGCAATTGTTGTTAACCGTTCATCGTTTACTGCTCTCCGAACTTCAGCCCGGTGGCGTTCTGTTGAGATGCTATGAAAAAAAATAGCCATTATAGAACTCTGCCAAGCAGGCAGCTCTTTTCTATACTCATTTCTATATTTAAGTCAACATTTTGCTTGGGGGGCCGTGGGGAGACGAAGCAAGAATGATTTGTGAAGAGTCTAATATATGTCTTCAAATACTTTAAGATCACAGGAAAGGAGTCATCTGATTCTATGTAACTGCAGAGAGAATTAACTGGAAATTAGAAATCACATGTAGACAAATTCAGCATGATACCAAGTCATTACTTCCAAAACTGACATGTTGAACCATGTCAAAATTAGCAAAAGCTTCTCTTTATCTACATATGCAATCAGCTAATAACTCACCCCAAATCATAATGACAAGAGGATTGGCACTTGGCAGAAAGTCATCTAAGGTCTTTTATAAAGCTTAAGAGTTCAGAATTTTATGTTCCGTGAATATAATAAGGAAATCAAAGTGATAAGATAATCTGTTTCCTGTGGTTATATGCCATAAAATTTGACACGGGAATATTATTCCTTTATTACTCAACACTTGAGTTTTGTGTCTTCTACATTTTATCATGTTACCATCATGATAAAAATGTGTTGTACGGATTCTGAATAAAAACATGTAAATACTAAAGAACAAAAAATAACTATATCCATTAGATTCATAATTACTTAATAAATGCCAACTTTAATGTTTAGGTTAAACATACTCTGGACTAAAATAAGAAAGCAGAATTTATAAGAAAATATGAACAAATACATATAATAGTTGAACTCGGGTTATTGATTATTCTGCCAATTACACACTTAAATTTAAGAAATGCCCCTTCCTTATTTTCAGTTTTAAGAAGCAGGACAGGGCCAGGGAGATAGTTGAAAGGGTTGGAATGAATGAGTTGCAAGCAAGAGCCTCAGGGTTCAATCCCCAGCACTTTCATGTCCTCTGAGCATAGGAGGGAGTGATCCAAAGCAGTCTTTGAACATGCTGGATGTGTCCCCACCCCATCCCCACTCCCTCGGCAAAAAAGTACAAGACAAATAATCTGAATGCAGAAAGAAAACTTCAGTTAAAACAGAGGACCAGAGCAAGAGTACAGCTGGCTGGACAATTGCCTTCTTGTACACAGCCGACCCAGGTTCAATCCCTGGCACCAAAATATGCAACCCCCCCTCCAACCACCCCACCAGGCGTGATCCCTGAACACAGAGCCAGGAGTAAGCCCAGAGAGTACCGTCAGGTGTGGCAAAAAAACAAAGAATAATAAAGGAATAAAATAAAAACCTTCTCTGAGAAAGTTAAAGGTGTTAGAAGAGAACAGCAAAGTATACAAGAACCTCTTTTTCAATAAATTCGATTACCACTCTAGTAAATCTAGTAAGAAGTTGAAGCAATAAAATTGAAGACTACGATGATATAACCAATATCCATTTCTATTCTTAAAGCAACTTCCTAATATCTTCTTCCCACATATATATGACACTCTATATATCCAATTGATGACAGCTTTTTCCTTCACCCATGTCAAAAATATCTCCTTGGAACTAGAAAAACAGTTCAACAAGCTCAGCACATATTTGGCATGTAGGAGGCCTAGGTTCAATCTCCAGCACTGCACTATCCCCTAGCACTAGGGGTAGCAAATCTCAAGCACTGAGCCAGGAGTAGCCTCTGCACACCACCAGAGGAAGCTCCAAAACAAAACAAATCAAAAACCAACCACAGCCCCCACCCAAAAAAGAAAACAAAAAAATACCTTTATCTTCCCAGATGCTTCAAACCTAAACCAAGCTGACTACAGAATTGATAAATTACATAATTTTCTGTAACAATGCATACAACCCAGATGGAACCTCTAAGCCCCAAAACTTCCAACACCTCTATATTCCACTTGGGAATAAAAAGTATTAAAACTCTTCAAAATAAATTTTCTAGAGTCACATCTCATAAGCATAATTTACCTAAGAACTTTTGAGAGTTCTCCAAGAAGATCTTTCTTTTCCTTGGTGAGATCGCCCTGTGCCCTAAGTGCACTGATAACTCCAGCATATGCCTCCAATTCTAGAAGAAGAAAGTTTTATCAAGATTAACACTTAATATTTTAATATTAAAATTACACATAGGGAAAGTTCAAAGCAAGAAATCTAAAAATCAATAAACAAATACATTTCTAATTCTTCTTAAAAATTTTATCTATTAACATAGATTACTAAGTGGCTTTATAATTTCATTGCCATCGCCTTACAAAAATCATGTATATAAAATATTTAATTAGAAAAATCTACTGGTAATTTTTTTTTCTTTTTTGCTTTTTGGGTCACACCCAGCAATGCACAGGGGTTACTCCTGGCTCTGCGCTCAGGAATTACCCCTGGCAGTGCTCAGGGGACCATATGGGATGCTGGGAATCGAACCCGGGTTGGCCGCATGCAAGGCAAACGCCCTACCTGTTGTGCTATTGCTCCAGCCCCCCTGATAATTTTTTTTTAATCACGCAATTATCATCAAAAAGTTTTTGTTTGGGGTTTGTTTTTGTTTTTTTGGTTTTTTGCAGGTTAGCTAACACCCAGAAGTGCTCAGGGCTTACTCTTGACTCTGTACTCAGAGATCAGAGGGGATAATTGGTGGACCATATGTGGTGTTTGGGATCAAATTCAGGTCGGCCACTGGCAAGGCAATAAACCTACCCACTGTACTGTATCTCCAGCCCATTACTAAAACACATTTAACTCAGGGCCTCAGAAATAGCACAAGGAGGTAAGTTTATGTCTTGCATGCAGCCAACACGAGTTCTTTCCCCAGAACCACCTATGGTCCCCAAACACCAGAAGCGTCACTCCTGAGCACAAACCCAGGAATAGTCCCTTAGCACCACTAGAAATGGCCCAAAATCCCCAAAAAGCTTTTTTAAGTCAGGGATGGAGTAGTAAAATGAACTGAGTGCATGCTTTGCATACAGAGGCCTGGGTTCAGTCACCAGCACCCAAAGGTATCACAGAGTGGAGAGTAGTCCCTGAGCACCATTTGGTGCTGCCCAATAAAAAATAAGCATTTTTTTAATAAAAATGCAGATGCTACCAAAAATTGATAACAGGCTACAAATAATGCAATAAGGCTAATAGGAGATATTTTTAGCACTGTTAAAGGGATCTTCACTAACTCTTCCCTAAAATAATTTCTTAGTGGGCTGGAGATAGTTCAGGCTATCTCTTGTGTGCTTGGCTTGCATGCAATCAACTCCAGTTCAATCCTTAGCACAGTTTCCCAACTGCTGTCTGGATGACCTGAGCAGACCCATGAGTATGCCCTGAGCTATACAAGGTGTGCCGCCCCCCCCCCAAAAAAAACCCAGAAGAATAATAATTATTAGTATTAGTATTCCAGCACTGCCACTTCCTAGTTATGTGATATTGGATGAGTACTTTCTCATCGCTGTACCTCTTCACTTAGAATTGACTTTGAAGGTACTTTCAAATCTAAGAACTTCTCTGCATCTACAAAAACCAGACTATGGTTTGGCTGACTAAGGTAGATTAAAGAGCACAGAATGTTCTTACAAGCACCAAAATGCCAAAACCCTCATGCCAGACAACGTCATTTCATTATCTTTCCAAAGCAACAACTAGCACTGAGTATTAAAATATAAAATTTAAAAAATTCCTCAATAGTAGGGCGTGCCAGTTCCCACCCAAACAAAGCCCCAGGAGCAGGTCCCATACCCCAAAGCCACCACCATAACCCCAGGCCAGACCTCACCACTTTATGACTAAGTGCCACAGAGAACCTAATCTACCAAAAACTTCAGGCACACTAATCTTTGTGGCTAAAAACTCCAGGCAGGGGCCGAAGCAATAGCACAGCGGGTAGGGCGGTTGCCTTGCACGCGGCCGACCCGGGTTCGAGTCCCAGCATCCCATACGGTCCCCTGAGCACTGCCAGGAGTAACTCCTGAATGCAGAGCCAGGAGTAGCCCCTGTGCATCGCCAGGTGTGACCCAAAAAGCAAATAATAATAATAATAATAATAATAAAAACCTCCAGGCATTCCTCAGAATCAGAGTAAGGCAACCTCCCCCAACCTCTCCATACTTCTGGAAGACCCAGCAGCTATGCCCACTAAATATTTAACTGCCCAGTTAACTCAAACTCTACAGCACTGACATTCCACTAGTAGTGCACCAGGCAGGATGGGATGTAACACAGAAGCCAAACAATCTCTACTAACAAAAACATTAACACAGAAAGGTTAATTGCAACAACAGCTTAGTAAAACCTGACATGAAATAATGTCCCCATGATGAGACGTCACATCCCACAACAATTTTCACAAATTTCCTTCTATGGAAATATGTTAGCCACTTATTGATAACAAGCAATGTAAAATAAACTGCCAGTCTGCTATAGGGGCAGGCTTGAGAGGTGGTTGAGAAAATGAAAACAATGATGGAGGGAAGGTAAGAGTGACGGTAAGATTGGTGTTGGAATATTAAATGCCTGTAAGAAACCATCATGAACAGCTTTGCAAACCAGTGTTTAAATAAAGTGGGGGAGGAACAAAGACAAAATTCATCAACAGCTTCCAAGTTTGCCACTCAGTGTATAGTTCCCTCTTACGCTAACTAGGGGACTCAGCATGTAATTTCCTTTGGTCTATGGAACATGAACATGTTTGATGCCCAATAGAAGTTCATTTAGCACATTAAGTTCATTAAGGTCTTACCGTCCTGGAATCCTGAGAACATCCAGTTACGAAAAAACCAAAGAGAAAGGCCAGGCAGATCAGATAAGCTACCAGATGAATACAACTACATGGGAGCTCAAGCAAAACCAGTAATTTAGAGTTAGAGTGAGAATACGGAGGGGAAGGCATTTGCCTTGCATTGGCCAACCTGGGTTTGATCCCCAGCACTACATATGGCCCTCCAATCCTCACCAGGTGTGGCCCAAAAAACAAACAAACAACAACAAAAAAAAAAAACAAGCAATTCATAGAATCACAAAAAATAATAAAATAGTACGATTTTTGTTTTGGAGCCACACCCAGCAGTGCTGAGATTACTCCTGGTTCTAAGCTCAAGGATCACTCCTAAAGAACTCTGGGTCATACATGAGCACAGAAAATACCCTAACCACTGTTCCACCACTCTGGCCCTAAAACATTATTATTAAACTAGGGTATGGAACCTTTTTTTCTGCCAAGGGCCATCTGAATATTTATAACACCATTCGTAGGCCGTATCATACAGGCAGATGGGCTGCAGGCAGCTAATGAGAAATACACATGGTCTTTCCTACCATGTAAGAAGGCCGGACCATATGATTCCATAGACTTTTTATGACCCGAGCCCTGTACTCTTTGAGACAGGTACATCTGAGCAAATAAAATGGAAAATAATTGTCCAAATGAGCTATCTTCCAACTCAATTCAAGTTGCTACCAATATTTGCTATTTGCCAATATCTGACTCAATGTTATCTAAATAATGAAGGCATATATTATCTCTGCTAATACTAAACTAAAAATACAATAGTAGTCTCATTTGGTTCATACTATTCACAGGTCCCATAGCAAAAAAAAAGAAAGAAAAAGAAAAAAGAAAAAAGAGTGAGGTGACTGCATTAAGTAGAAATTACCCAACTGACAATTTTTATCTTGCCCTATGTGTAAACAACCTCCAAGTTCAATCAGTGCTGAATACTATGTAGATGTTTAATGGAGTCTCTATGAACAAAACTCTTGGGCGCTGGAGTAGTGAAGTAAATTCTAAATTCCAGGAAATCTATTGAAGTTTTTATCAGGACCCAAGGTAGAGTTCAGAAAGGACTAGGGATGAGCAAGAACTCACTGCGTTGTAAATATTCGTGTCACATTTATGGAATAATTTATTCATCAAATCAATAATGAGTTCTGAGTTCTATTAACTATAACAACTAGTATACGAAACCCTGCCCTCAAAAGTACTCAACTTTGAAACAGAGCTACAGTGAAACTAGTTATCACACAGAAGGCTCAACTAGCACCAATCAGCTCAGGAACTCCTCAAAGACTTTAGTAACACCATTGTGAAATATAACAATTATTATAAATTGATTTTTATTGATTTTTTTGATAATTCCATTTTCCTTTTTGTTTTAATAAGCAATATGAAGCAAATTTGTTTGAGCCTGCTAAGGGGCCCGGTTAGGTTGGTAGGTGGGAAACTGGGTACATCAATGGAAGAAAGGACATATTGGTGGTATTGGTGTTGGAACATTAAATGCTTGAAACAACTGTATTAGAACAACTTTGTAAATCGCAGGTGGTTAAAAAAATAACAAGTTAACAGACAATTATGCTAAAGTTTGTAGTGGTAAAGATACAGGAAAGGGGCTGGAGTGATAGCACAGCGGGGAGGGCGTTTGCCTTGCACGCGGCCGACCCGAGTTCGATTCCCAGCATCCATTATGGTCCCCTGAGCACCGCCAGGAGTAACTCCTGAGTGCAGAGCCAGGAGTAACCCCTGTGCATCACCGGTTGTGACCCAAAAAGCAAAAATAAAAAAACAAGATACAGGAAAAAGTACACATTAGTCTGGAAGCATAAGTTTCAATCAGAAAGATTAAATATAAAAGATTTTCCCTTGCTCTATATAGGTGGGGGGGATGCAAATGTGAAGGAAAATAAAGTGAAAGAATAGATAATATTTCCTAGAAGTATCAAACAGTCAAAGACCTCTTTAAAAGTTTTATACTGGGGGATGGGAGTTGGGGGTTGGGAGGAAGACAGGAGTGCTGAAGCAACAGTACAGCGGGTAGGGTGTTTGCCTTGCATATGGCCATCCCAAATTCAATCCCTGGCACCCCATATGGTTCCCCAAGCCCATCAGAAGTGATCCCTGAGTGCAGAGCCAGGAATAAGGCCAGAGCACTGCTGAGTGTGGCCAAAAGAAATTTAAAGTTTTGTACTGCGGGAATAACATATGCCTGAACTTGAACAATTACCAATACCAATTCAAACCAAACTATTAACCAAACATTAACTACAAGGCATTGGAGTGATCATATACACAAAGTGCTGATTTTC